CGTTAACCGTAATGAACGATAATTAATTCATCGAGCTTCGTCCATAGATACTTATACGAGGATATGATACATAAAATTTAAGTCTTACGATTTTCATGTACAAATAGTTCGCTGGTTCGTAGCTAGCCTACTCACCTAGCTGCTATAATATCACACGCGATCACTCATACAGGCGTTCGTCACCCACGAGAACAAAATTCCCTCAATTTGTCGTCCAATTATCTTCTAACTACGATCACGATTTCCATCTGCGATCAAAGCTGACTAGAAATCATACGATTACCTTTCGCGTATTCAAATTGGTGCGTGGATTCAGTCCTCCCGAAAATTGTCCAGTCCATCATATTCTGTACAGATTAAGAAATTGTTCGCTTGTAAGACGGCAAAGTATGCACTTCGCTTCTAGTCGAAATTTTCAATTTCTTCTTTTAACGGTATCTTCACACATCCAAGGATATGATACATAAAATAAGTCTTTTGGTACAGGTTCGTTCAATTTGTAAATGTAATATATATATTGCATCTTAATAGCAAGATGCAGAGTTAAAAAGATAAAAGTACTTATAAAATTAAGTAACGTTGGAAGAACTTTCGACATGTGTTGCATAGCAACATTAGTTAATATTAGTCACAGAGGAACTTCAGAAAGCGAAGATGTACATCTAACTCACACTTTCATGGGAAGTTTAAATAAAGCTGATTTCTGGCAGTTAATTGATTAACATGAAATTAAATCTTGGGCAATTAGCCTCGGACTAGTGCAATTGTGTACGCTCTTTATTGTAAGAATAAAGTCGACGAAGTGTTCAGGGTGATGGGTTGCACTAATCCGAGGTAGAATCGATGGATTAATCCGAACCTTATTATAATTACAGTCAAGTTGTATGTAAGTACCATCCGCTATGCATACTGTTACGCGTTGCAATTCGTGTGGAAGATTTTATCGATTAATCAACACATATTACAGTGATTCCTCGATGAATGCGACACGAGCAACGGCGTTATTCCCACCACTGGGGGAGTCCCCCCGTGGAAGCAATCAAAACAGAGTAAACGGAAGCTAAGCAAAGGCTGAGTTTCGGGTAAAAAACAAATTTATGAGGGGCTGAAAATCTTTTCGCCTTGCCACGAATAGCTCCGAAGTGGATCCGAGTACATCGCACTCATCGAGACATTACTGTATTCAATTTCTACTGTATATGATCCAGACTGTTCGAAACTTTCAATAGACCTGTGTTTTATGAAATGTGAATCTTAATGGAAATCGTTAGTGTGTGGACGAGTTTCTGTCTCTTTTCGAGGAAACAGACGAAGTATACCCTCGCGTTCGATTCTTGATCGAGTAGCAGTCGGAGACAGGCAAAATTTTTATCTAAATAAAAATTTTGAATAATGAATATAAGAAAAAAAAATTTTATTCGTTATTCGAAGTTTGAATAAAAAAAGTATCTTTATTCGACGAGCGTCGATTGAATAAATTTATTCGACGAGATTTATCTGACGAATAAAAGATCCTTTTTTTATTCGGGGCGTTTTATTCATAGCGTCGATAATATTCTCATCTTTGTCATCACATTTTCATCACGCACGAATGAAAATTTAAACTTTTACAATTTTCAATATATATTAAGTGTCATGAATGAATTGAAGAGATTCTCGCGATGAAAATGCGTCCAAATTTCAATGTAATGGCACAATTTTTACTCATACGTAATGTTGCGGATAAAAATGATATATTATTAAAAATAGTCTAAATAATGTCGTATTTGTACTCATTTCCACCGATAGAATCTCCTCAGTTCATTCATGACACTTGATTTAATGTATATTGAAAACTATAAAAGTTTAAATTTTTATTTGTGCGTGATTCCTTACCTCATCTACGTCTGTTTACATTGTATGCCGACTGTCGGTCGCTGGCCTTTGACGTTCGATGTTCGACGCTCGCCAACGCGTTTTTTCGAGCTCGCTGGCTGGCCGAAGTTTATTCAAAGCCTTCGGATAAAACGCCTCGATTAAAAAAAGTATCTTTTATTCGAACGGATATTTAAATAATTTTTTATCTAGATAATTCCCATCTCTGGTCGCAGTCGACCGAAACCGACACTCCGTTATATTATTACGATAATTGAAAGGCAATAGCCTTAAATGAGTTGTCTTAGCGAATCGTAAATTCCTGTTTGGCAGAAACGAATGTAAGCGTAATTAACCGGCCGTGGTCTCATCATTTTGAGAACGATGCGCAAGGATTGGAGTTTTACATAATACTGGCGTGTCAGAGTCCCATGTCAGTCCGTGGCAACTGATATATGTTGAAATTCGATAGATCGTCTTCGATCGCCGTAAGAATACGGTCGATGAAATCGACGCGAATTTCGCCCTGGAGATCGATGTTCTTACCTTTTGTTTCTTCGCATTTATAATAAAAAGAAAGTATTCTACTCGAATCTTTTTGTCCAAATTAATTTTAACACAATTAGGACGGCAGCGACATTCACGAAACGCTCGCTACTGTTGGCGTTTGTTATGGTCGAATGGTATAATTATTCGGGAAGCGTTTTTCTCATTACAGTAGACATCCGATTCACGCACGCCCGATATATGTACAATGGGGGGATCCCCTCGCTCAAACATGTTCGCCTACCCCATATACAAGGTATCCCAAAATAGCTTCGACTCCCGGAAATGAGGGGTTCCTGGGATGATTTGAAACAACTTTTTCCTTAGCAAAAATGTTATTCGAGACTTTGTTCACGAGATATTAACGAAAAACCCCGGCCAATCGTGGATAACATGTTTGCTAAGGAACAAGTTGTTTCAAATCATCCTAGGAACCCCTCATTTCCGGGAATCGAAGCTATTTTGAGACACCCTGTATATATATATATATTATTTTAATAAAATGTTTCAATACTAAATAACTTTTGGAAATAATTTGTTGATATCTCTAAAAATAACGGAGATAGTTAAGGTGATTAAAAAGTGCGTACATCCAGCCCACCATCCATGTAGCTATATCACACAAGTGAACGGACGATCAGTGGGGAAAGCGCATTGTTGATTGGCTCTAGATTTATGCACGGTTCCTTGAAATGTAGCCCTCTACAGCTCCGAATCGTGCGTGAATCGAATGTCTACTCTAATATGTACTTATTTTTCAGTTTCTAATCTTTTTACCTGTTAGATATACGTGTTTCTTTTTTTTAAATAGAAAATGACACAATAATGTGGTGCTAATGCTGTATTGCATTAGTTTGTATTGTCACGCGCCGTCCTGAATGGGTTAGGATTAATATTTAACAAAATATATCTACGAACATTTGAGAAAACCGCAAATGCAAAGATCACAAAAGGTTGAGCGTTCTATTATTTATATTATATAGTTATTTTACAAAACGGTTTGCGCCCTCCGTTACGTCAATGAAAACTACATGATCCATAATGTTACCTTTCGCGATAATTCATGATCGAGGTCCGTTTTATATCGATAAATTATTCATCCTCTAAATATGTTGTACACCCACGAGCAAACTCGGCTTCCACTAGGGGAAAAAGTGGCCTAAGAAAAGGGCCTCCTACCACTACCTACCACTTGGTATTGGGAATTATTGAAATTTATGCCAAATTAACATTCGGTTTAACATTTATTTAAGTATTTGAAATAAGTTTATCAAGCAATACGAGGCCCTAACCCCTACATTGCCTTTTCCCCTAGGGGAAAAAAGTGGCGTAAGAAAAGGGCTTTCTACGACTTGGTAAAGTTTATTTCAAGTGCTGAAATAAATGTTAGACCGAATGTTAATTTGGCATAAATTCCAATAACTGCCGAGACGAAGTGGTAGGAGGCCCTTTCTCTACGCTGTCTATTCCCCTAGCGGAAGTCGAATTAGCTCCTGAGAGTACACGTCATACATGTATGTACACTTGTAACTTGCATCTCTGTCTCAGTCGCACGGCTTCACCTCAATCCGCAACTGCGCGGATCGACTCGTTTAATAATGCTTAGTAATCTATGAAACAGGTGATGAACGGAATTATTCGCTCCAAAGAAACGTCGAATCGCACAGTTGCGTCTTATTAATGCCGATAACTAGACTGCGGATGTGTATGCAAATTCAGAATTTTAAACATTAATTTATAAACATGAAAATCAGATAAAAATTTATTTCCCGTACTAAATGTATCATTACGTTGATAGTAATATATGTGTCATTAAATTTTCCCAAAATCTTTATTTTACTGCATTTGGCATGTTAAAATTTGCTATAAATGCATAAACATCCGCAGTCTACTGATAACTAATAGTATTGTATATAATTGGCCCTCTGTCTCAAGCAGAAATCTTATCAGCCATTTTCGTGCACGTATTAGGGCAGAAAAATAAAAGAATACTTGGACACTGTATCGCGATAATGGCAGTCAATAATTTGCGATAATTTCGCCATTTATAACAGCGTGATTAGTACGCAGGTTCTACACTATACAGTGAACGGTTATTATATTTGTGTTTAATTCAATATCCGTCGCTAAATTGACTTGTTTTCTAACGTGCGTCCGGTGTACTAATTCCCATGGAATTATTCAAAGAATCGTGGTGGAATTCATGCTTTTTGGGATCGAGCTTCGAAGATACATAATCTTTTTTTCGTATATTCACGAGCGCTGCAATTGGTCGTATTCGAAGTAACGCAAAATGGCGTGCTACGGAACGGCGTTATTGGGCAGATAGTTTTTTTTTTTCAGAAGATTCCACGAATGAAATGGTCATCGTTTCAGGATACCAATATCTCTTCTAGCAAGATTGAACATTGCTAGGTAACTATGATTGATCTCGACCCGTAATTCCACTTACACCGGTAAACGTGTGACACTCTAGACTGAAACTCGCTGTCCACAGCTGTAATTCCCGATTGACATCATCCAAGCCGTTTAGACAGTCAACAACAGTCTTTTCCATTTACATATCCCGAATCCTCCTACTAGAATTCGCTAGGTCCCAATCATACGTGTATAGTGAACTCTTGTCTCTCTTGTTCCTTCCTTTGCTGGTACCTGAAACGAAGCATGTGGAATTTGTTTATATCTGTTACAGTAAGAGCATAAGACCAGTAATTGTGTACACGTACTAGCAAGTGTATACATATACAGAACGTTTCAACAGGGACTTTGTTTTTAAATTTTCAATAAAACACACATTTTGGATGAAAGTTCTGTATTTCTTTATTGATATACAGGGTGTAACAAAAATGTTGGAGGACCCGAAAATGGGAGACTCGTGAGGTGATTTGAAACAAATTTTTCCTTAGCAAAAATAATATCCGAGGCTTTGTTTAATGAGATATTAACGAAAAACTCCGATCAATCAGTGCGCGAGTCTATCGGCCGAGTTCCCGCGGTAACTACGCGCTGCGATTGGTAGCCAACGTTATCGCGGGAATTCTGCCGGCAGACTCGCGCTCTGATTGGTCGGGGTTTTTCATTAATATCTCGGTAACAAAGCCTCGGATAACATTTTTGCTAAGGGAAAACTTGTTTCAAATCATCTCATGAGTCTCCCATTTCCGGGTCCTCCAACATTTTTGTTACACCATGTATAATGTAGAAAGTCTACAATTTATGAATCGAAAATAATATCCGACAAATGTCCACCATGACCACGTTTACAGACGTCGATCCTTTTGTTAAAATTTTCGATTACATTTTTGCTTAATTGCGGCTCTATCTCACCAATTTCGCGTCGGATGTTGGTTTTCTAGGCTTCAATGGATTGTGTATTATCTGCATAGACTTGATCTTTCACATAGCCGCACAAGAAATAGTCTGACGACATTAAATCATACGATCTGAGCGGCCAATTGACTGCAGAATTACGCGAAATTATTCGATCGAGAAATTTCGTTCGCAATATATTGTGGAATGTGGCTCCGTCTTGTTAAAGCCACATAGTGGATTTTAATTATTTTTATGCGATTTTCGATTGAAATTGAAGACATTATAATAAGTTGTAGACCTTGTACTTGACATATGTTAAAAAACAGAATGACAAAACTGTCACCACATCCAAAATTGCCCCTATTAAAAAACAAAGACTCTGTTCGAAAGCCCTGTATTTGCTCACAAAAGTGTTAAAGGTGCAATACAAAAGATGATGTTGCTAAGAAAACCCATTTGTTAATATGATACACACTTCACGGAAACTTGGTATTAATTAATACGCTTTAACTAAAGCATTTTATAGAATGTACGCTTGCTGGTAAGTGGTTGCTATTCTTCCTTTTTTCTAAGACCTCCATAATTATACACACTTACTAGTAAACGTTTATAATTGTGAAAAAAATATACGGAAGTTACTAGCAAATGTATAAAATTACTCAGTTGTACGGTTTATTGTAACATATCGAATAAGGTTTGATTATTGTTGGACTAAGAAGTATTTAATATTTTTCTAGAGAATATGGCAGCTATAATACAAGTTTGTTGATGCTTAAAGGTATACATACATCTGGTGGTACAAAAATTAAATTTGTCTTTCAAATTTTTACTGACAGTAGGATATTTTGTTAGAAGTACACATAAAAACGAGGTTATCCTGCTTATTTTCTGGATTATGACATCGTCGTTAATATTAACGCAAACCATTACTGAATCGAATGTCTTTCTGATAAAACCAAAAACATGGAACAATATATTTTGCCTCTCATACAAATCTCCGAAACATTTTCCAAGATTCTTTCAATTAACCTTTAGTTACTCGCACACCGCTTTGTGCTCGTCGTAAGGGGCTCGTCCAGTGGTGAGGATAACGTCTTTGCTCGTATCGCATTCATCGAGGAATCACTGTATGCTTCTTTGCGTAACTAGTCGCATGGAGTCAGTCATTATTAGAATCTCATAAGAAGACCTAATTAGGGAGCTATACGTGCAGATTGCGATAAATTACGCATTTATGAAGACATCGTCCTTACAATGATCCCATGCGAGTAATTAAAGGTTAATATCTGATCCTTTAAGACCAATACGTTAAGGGGTCTCCCTACTGTGACAATTCAAAAATTAGGCGAAATTCAGGAATTTTTCTAGAAAAAGCTGAGGTATATCGATGTTAAACTCTTTTCTATGAATTCGTATACATTAACAGGATAAGCTTAAATTTTTTCATTTGAAAATATAGTACAGATTAAAAGTTATTGTAATTTTTCGGGACTGCCTAAAAAAAAGGTGCCTCCATGGCTGCCATTATATCAGCTGTCTACGTTATCTTAAATTAAAAATTGAGAAAGATTCTTAATCTATATGAACGTGGCTATCGCCTGTACTAGAATGAATAAAAAATATTGAAAAATAACACAATGGTAGAGTCTTGCAAAGAAGTGCCGATTTTCGCGAAAAAAGTAGCTCGTTTTTCAAGTTGGAAAATTCGAATTTTGCGAATATCAATTTCATTCTAGTACGGGAGAGAATTATACACCTACTGAACATGCCTAGATAGTTTCAAGCCACTCCGTCAAATAGTTTCTGAGATATCGTGGCAGCCATTTACAAGAGTGTCCTTTCGAGAAAAGCGCGTTTAAAGTTTCGATTTGAACCTGCGTGCCACGGCGCGCTGCTTCGGTTAAAGAAGATTTCGAATCGGGCGAAATCCTTTTGGGGTTATGGTTTTGAAATATTAAGCCCTGAGAAAATGTAAAAAAAGAAAAATCGATTTTTTTGACCCGTCACAATAGGGAGACCCCTTAATTTGACTGTCAACGGGATGAAGCATCATAGGTCTGTCTCTTTCAAAAATTTGAACATGAAATTTTCGACGAATTCCATGATATAATTTTTTAAACAGGATTTTTGGGACATCGAATTTTTGACGTAACCGAAATGCATGTAGCTCCTTAAGCGTGAAAAGAATGAATGTCAACGTGTCAGCTTACTACGATCTACGGAGGTTCGTGTCGATACCTAGCGAGCATAGATTCGACGGCCTCGATCGGCAGTCTACCCAAGCTGCCGCCGTGGCGGGTCCCGGCTGACAGACCTTGCCAGTCGCGATCACGATCACGGTCACGGTCACGATCTCGATCACGATCACGATCACATTCTACGTCGCTCAATTCGCGGCTGTCGCTAAACCCGCTTGGCGGCAACAACGTCATGTCCTCCACCGAACTACGGACAATAGACCAGAGAAACGTCTTAGGGAAACAGATGATTAAAATACGTAAAGACACGTAGAAGATCTTGTCACCGTTCTCCGATCCGATCGAACTTGCAAATTAACTTGAACCGATTTCGTCGAGGGTTCGCTCTGTACTCGGTAGAATCTTGTCGGTGGCATCGATTCAAATTAATTTAATCGAGAAAGAAAACAATGGGTCGGTTCAGCGAGCTGGAGTTCCCATATCAGAGTAGCTTCTCTGATTAGCGTACAGGGTTTCCTACTTCGTGAGTAGCTGATCACTTACGATCAGGGATTGAAAACGGTCATGATATCCGTTCCGGTTCTCGAAACAGTTATGAATAGACTGCGGATTTTTATGTAAAATGAGATTTTTTGAAGCAATTCATACAGAGAATAGCATATGTAGGAATTTCTTTCTTTTCTCAAGTATCATATTCGGTTCCGAATAAATCAAAAAACTTATTAGATCTGATGAAAGTTTTGTCCTTTAGTGTATTTTACAGACCCCTACAGGCTATAAATGCATAAAATCCGCAGTCTATAAGTTATGAAGAACCGAAATGATGTTGTATTTGTTATGAGTCGAAAAGATTTTGGCTTATATCGGTTTTGGTTACGATTCCACAGTCTGTTATTCTGTCTGGGCTACGTCTGTCTTACATCGGTTCAAAATGGTTTTTATATTGGTTCTGTCATTTTATTTCCTGCTCTGTTCTTTCTACACGAAGTGTAAGAAAGGGTACTCACCTTTACGTGGCAATTTTATTTCCTGCAAATAGTAAGTTAATACATTTATTTGTCGCTAAGTTTTCGAGTGTCTATAACTGAAGTAAACTAAACGTGAAAGTGAACACCTTTCCTTACACTTCGTGTAAGAAGAACTGGACATGAAGATAGAATGATGGAATCGATTTAAAAACTGTGTTGCATCTGGTATACATAGAACCGATATTACAAGTAACAAAATTTGGACAGTAACCGAAAGAATACTGTAGACACTTGTTCCTCTGAACGAGCTTCATCAGGCACCACTTTTGGTCACCGTATCTCACTGTCTAGTTGAATCTGAATCTCGAAATTTTTGCTGTGTAATATACACCCATAGTATCAGTAAATAACCAAATTTCAGAATTTTATCTCGTCCCCCACCAGAGATAATTAGCCCCAAAGTTTGCAAAAATCATGAAAATCGGAATATTTGAGAAATTATAGAAGAAAAAGGGATTCAGTCTCAGACTTGAAATTTATCAGCCAACTAAATTTGCATGTGCTCTGCTAAGAAAAACAGAATTAAGTTTGAGACTTTATCCTTTCTTGCCGAAATTTTCAATTCAACCTTTCATTTTTCTAGTAATCAAACTTGCAAACTAGACCCAAATTTTAGCTTGTGGAGTTACGTTTAGGATAAAAGTGTATAGAAGAATAATTGCAGCATGTTCTTTTCTGAAAAACATGCTTCTTGTCCCATGTTGCTATGATTAGCAGATACTGAGATATTTTAATTTTTTTTTTTTAACTGACACTTGCTTTGAAGTGTTAACATATGAGAGTAAACATACACAAAAAATTAGTTTTAAAAAAAATGGTCGAGCAATGACATTGGACCACTTCGCTTGGAATGACCCTATAGCATCATTTCGGTTTTTCGTAACAATTTTTCAGTCAGAACCTTTATATAACAGTTATTTTCGGAGATGTTTCAACCCCTGCTTACAACACAGAAGAGAGGACTTGATTAACTAACATAACGTGAGAAAGAGAAGATGAGTCTATACGGAATTCAACGCGAATACTATTGTCTTGTATTTAAACATTGAAGTTTATGTTTTTGAATAGTTTTCAAAGTAATATTAAAAACATAAAATGTTACGTGATATGGAATGTTTAAATTAATATTCAAATGAACCGTTACTTTCAAATACTTTTCGAAAATTCTGCTAAATTTAAATTCGACGGAAATTATTTGGAAGTAATAACTCATTGGAATATCGAGCAACGGAACTAAATTATTTTAGTCAGAGTTCTTCATTTTTCCAGCATTGTCCCGTTATTTCTGTATTCTATGTTTGTACGAGACCGATAAGACCGTGATACAAATACCAAATATAATCAGGACTGAGTGCTATGTGGAAACAAACAAACCTTGGCTACCTGCGAGTAGACCGGCTCGGTTGTCGGCTTCGTCGTCTCGCAAGTGATGGTGAACCTTCGTTGTTGGACTCTGTGCTCGATTCCACTCCTCGTGAAAACACATCTGAAACGAAATTTACTCGATTAAGGTCAGTTTGAAGTTGAAGCAATAAACAAACGTTATCGATTTCATAAAAAAATATACTCGAAAAAAGGACGTTTTATGTCATGGAGCTTTTCGTTACAAGAGTGTACAGCAGAGGCTTCCAACTTGACTACGACTTGACGTACGACAAACAACACGTAGGGTAAACTAACCAATAATTGTCTGCATACCAGTGAATGACTATTAGGCAAGAAATGTAAATTATAAATTGAAAAATTATTAACTGTTTATATCCCATATTTTTAGTTTAGCCTATTAAGAAAATGTTAATAAGTACACACTCTTTTCAATTATTGTCCCGAACCCGGGTCCGCGTCAGGACAATAATCTTGTAGCGAAAAATGCTTCAGACCCTCGTAAATTCGTTTTTGGCCCGGAGCTCGAGCCTTGGCAACAAAACTGGAGGGGCAACAAAGTATGTGCTCGACAGATTCCACGCCCCCCTTCCCCAGTGGTGGGGATGACGACTTCACATTTATCGTGAGCAAGCTCATACTTATCAGGACATTACTGTAGTGGGGAATGGACTGAGTGATGGTGGGGATTGCGTCGTCTGGCGATGTGACCCGTGGGCCACATGTTGGACAGGCCATAGAGGATAATGTTTACCTCTGCAAGGTTTCACCGGCACTCTGTAACTAGGTCCCGCGCACTCTCCGCAAGGGCTTCCAGACGTGTCACTTCCGGAACCCTGCCGGCTGGAGCGCAGCTTGCTTTCAGCTTCCGTGATGCTCGGGAAGTATCGTTGTTTGTGCCATCTTTGCGTTTTGGACCTGCGCGTGAAACAACACCAGAAGGAGGAAGAGAAAAGGGGTTCGGAGCGAAATTCAAGCAAGGAACTTTGCATTCATTAAATACGAAGCATGCACTTGGCGGCGCTTAATAATCGAAAGAGAACTTCGTTACCTTTCGAAGTCCACGCTGGACCTCTCGTAATCGATAGTATTGATATCTTCGTTCTCCAAATGCCCGAATGTTTTGAATTGCATAGTATAGTCTAGCGTGGCTGTTGTCACCGAGCGATTTTCTCTACCGGGAACGCTGAATGTAGCATACGGACTTATTTCGTACATTTCTATGGAAGAAATGATCGTTTTTAGCTTCCTTACTCAAGGAGAAACTAGTAACTTCTATATATATAAAATTCGATTTTGGACTAAATTAAATTTTAATAACTGTTGTAGGCTGACTTTGGAAAGAAACTAAGATCTATGAATTCTATATAATTTACCGATTGTTAGATTTTTATTTTGTATCCTCTTTAATCAATAATGAACAAGATGAAATAGTTTTTGCCGACAATTATAATATTTTTCAATGAATTCTTGATATAAATTATCATTATCCGCATACCTGATCCATGGTCGTTTGGCTTGTGATTATCCTGTTTTACCGGTGAGCTAGTGTACACCTGATGATTCCTTCTGTTATCGCGTTCTGCCGTAGACTTTAATTGCACAGTAGACATGCAACTAGACAAATGATGATGTTGTTGATGCTGTTGTTGTTGAACCAGCCCCAAACCTGTCTGCTGATTCGGTTGTTGCCCAGGGAGTATCTCGCCCAAATAATTTCCTCTGAAGATTTATTCGTGTTGTAAACATCTTCAATTTCGAAACAATAACTAGCAACTCTGAGTATAGCTTACCTTCCACTGCGCTTCAGCAATACAAATCCTAAAATAGCGGCCGAGACGATGAGCACAATGGCGCAGACAAGAGGTACGATGACGTAGAGGACTTTCTGATTGGGTATAGCCTTCTTCACATCGTCCTCCATGATCAAATCATTCGGAGGGCCTATACTGACTCCGCTAAGGGTGGTCGTCGCGAACTCCATTTGAGTTTGCGTCGACCCAGCGTCGTTATGGGCCGTCAAACGCAAAGAATACCACGAGGCGGTCTTCAAGTCCCGTATAATCAAATTCTCCGTGGCACGTTTCTCCACGAGTATCCACGGTTCGGTGCTAATTCGTCTTCTATACTCCACCGTGTAGTATTGAATTGAACAACCGCCATTGGGCCAGGACAACAGGTTCAACTTTACGGATGTACCGTTCGCTGAAATGATGTCCCGGTCTTTTGGTAGCAAAGGAGCTGCCAATAAAAATCAGCGAAATAAGATTCATATAGCTTTTCCCGCGAAGCAACTGTTTGATGTTTCGAGTGAATAGTTTTGTGTAAATTACCAGTTCCTTGTGTCGTCGCGCTTATCCTGGGACTCGGATCTCCCGTGCCCACGCGATTGTGTGCAGTCAAGTACGCCAAGTAAGAGGAACCACATTTTAACCCGGACAAAATGAACTCCGTTTGTTCTGGCGATAATGCGATTTCCTCCCAGTCACCTTGGTCCCTTTTGTAACTTAGCACATACCCTAATGAAATTTACGTCGATTCTATTAATAGTAATTCTCTATTTTGTCAATATTATTCTATAATATCTTTTATTATACGAAGGAGGGATCAGTGACGCGATGTATTATTTAAATTTTTTACGTGCCTTGAATTGTAGCACCGCCATTATTTGGACGATTCCATTGAAGCCTTACGCTATTCGTTGTAGTATACTGTAGTTCAAGCATGGGTGCTCTCGGCGGCATCACTACGACCACCGTGTAAGTGATAGAATCATCACCATAGAGATTTCTAGCCGAGCACGTGTAGTTTCCAGCAACTGACTCTTCTAATCCTGAAAGAATAACGAAACTTCAGCCATTGATCATTTTTATTCGATACATTGTTACTTTGAGATACACATCAAACATCAAACTAACCGCGAATGTTAAGATGACCGTCGGCGGTCAGCTCGTAATGACGGCCAGTGGAGACCTGACTGTCCCGAAATTTCCATATTGGTCGTGGCGTGGGATTCCCGACAACCAAACACGACAAGGTGATCGATGACTTGATCGCTCTTCTAAGTAATTGTGAAAAAGACGCCACTCGCGCTGGAGCTTTAAGAACATTTCAGAATATTTAAACTGTCGGCAAGAAATCAAACTGACAGAGTAGCTAAAGAAATTTTGTGGTACCTCTAGTATTTGTAGTTTGCGTCACTATAGTGGTCGGCTCGCCTTCGCCTGGACCAGTCGTTGCGGACACCCAGAACTCGTACTGTTGTCTAACGAACAAATCATTCTCTTTAACATTTATTATTCTAGAAAACTTATAGTCTTATGAAAAAGTTCGTAGACTCTATGTATAAATCATTTATTATTAATCTTAGCAATAATTCCATAGTATCACCATAAAGGTAATCCCTTTTTCCCTTATACACTTTTGAAATTTTCTTTTTCAACTCTAGCTGTTCTTGTGATTTCTTAATTATTGCCTCTCGCGTGGTAAAGCATCGTCATTTTAGCACTCTTTTAAGGCGAGGGAAGAGAATGTAAATTTCTTACAATTAAACAGAAACTGGGGACGAAACAGGGGATTACGGTTACGATGTTGAGATTATTGTTTCGTTCCAGTTACGGTTAATTTTAACAATTTATCGTCATGTACCCTCGCCTTAAACAAGTGTTAAAAAGATGACGTTTCACCACGCGAGAGACAAGAATTAAGAAATCGCAAGAGTTAAACTTGATTTCGGTGTCCACTTTCTATGACACTTTCGAAAACTACAAAAAAAGATTTCGTACGTGTATAAGGGCAGGCGAAAATTACTTCATGGCGATGCCATGGAATTATTGCTAAGATTAATAATAAATGATTTATACATAAAATCCCTGAAGTTTTTGATCAGACATTGTATTTTTTATTTGAAATTCCATCAATTACCTCTCTACGAGACCTCGAAGTTCCATGGTGAGGGTGTCGGTCGGCGACGACGGTGGCTCGTGCATGGTGCGTGTGTTGCGGTTGCTAGAGCCAGTTTCCCTGCTGTAAACCGTGTACTTGGAGACGTTCCCATTCGGCTGCAGGGGTGGTAACCACGAAACTAATATACTCTCCGCAGTTAATGCTAAGGCTTTGATGCCAGCTGGTGGACCAGGGACTGGAAGAAAGTTATTTCGTGGAAGTAGTCGTTAAACGTTTGAAATTAACGAGGTTGCCCGATTGATGCCTACCATCCTCTACTGTTGTGCAAAAAATTGGGGGACTTAGGACTCCATCACCTGCGCCTGTGTAAGCCAGTACCCTGATCGAGTAGTTTGTGTACTTGTACAGGGTGTGCAGATAAGTCTCCACGCTAGAAGTCTTCTTCACTTCACCTACCGTCGATATGTCCACTGGAACAATTGAATTATACATCACATACGAACGTCGGCAACTTTTAATTCACCGTGCTGCGGGTTTGTGTTTCTTTCGACCGAATCATTTTTTCTTACATTGCCACGACATGCAGCATCTTTCGATTAAGCTGCATCCTGGTTTCGTCGAAAATGTTTTTATTCAGCGTTGTTCTCCTTCGTGTTCATTATTTCAAGAGTAAAGTTAAAGTAATAACCGCAGCAAGGTTAATTACACTTCAATGGTCTTCATTTTTTAAAATAAAATCTTGTGTATATACCAACTGTTTATAATTAATTGTCACTCACTGTTGTCAGTAGGAACTGGTCTGTAATATACTTTGTAACCCTGAATGATTCCGCCATGTTGGTGGGGCGGAGGAGCGCTCCAGGACACTTTCACGCTTTGGGATGACGCAGGAACGCAGGCTACATGAGTTGGCGGGGTTTCTGGCACTGAAGTAATAAATAAATTCGCGATTTATTGATATCTTATTGTTAGTCTGAGCTTTAACGATTTGAAATCTTTAATGTTCTGTACCTCCTTCTTGCGTGGTCCCGACAATGGGAACACTTGCCGGGCCGCTCGCTATACTGTTGAAAGCTCTGATCGATATATCGTACTTGGTGAACTTTCTAAGGCCAGTAAGTTGCACCTTCGTGGTCGCCCACCCGGTTACGGTTAAACTTTTGCTTTGGTTCACGCCCGACGTCGAAGATGAATGCTCGGACCATGTTACTATGTAGCCTAACAGGTCCCCGTTGCAAGATTCCTTCGGCGGTGCCTGCGAATGGCAGAGACTCTCGTTTTGTTTTGACGTTTATACGAATATAGAACTTTACGGATTAATTCCTTAAAGTGGGACACAATCAAAAAGTTATTTACTCTGTTAATTAAAAGGGTTCCAGTAATACTGAATAAACTTTTTGAAATTTTTTAAAAAAGTTTTTTGCTAAAACAGGTCATTTGGAACACTTCCTCTAATAAGACATTTTTAACCTTTGAACCTTGGAAGTAGAGTTGGTATTTACAAACGGAAATTTGTACGGAATATTTTTATGACTTCGGTGTGTAGAAAACACTCATAAATTTTGACTTCTCATTTCAGGAACACCCTGTATACAGGTTGAGCACTAAATTGTAATTAACTCATCAAACAGACTCTTTCAGGAAATCGTTTCATTGAATATAAACAAAATTTGTTTATATTCAATTTGTTTATATCACGACTGAATCATTTAACTAGATGATACAGTCGAAGAATGCGCTTCTCGAATAAAATAACTATTGTATTTTTAATAATTATTAACTTTAAATCTGGAACGCAATTTTGTTATGCTTGATTTTCGCCTTATAGTTTAGCATATGGAATCTACACTGTAAAAGTGTCCCACATCTTTATTAAAACCCTGTGTGTTGTAAACATTATTAAATATTTTCTATGAAAAAGCTAGGTTTAAACTATGCATATAGAATATTCTGTGTCATAAAGCACAGCAATTGTACGTTATTCTTTTTAGATAAAATTATGGATTTTATTTAAATAAATAAATTTTTCGGAACATCCTCCTTACCTGCCAACTAACCATCAGTTCTCCGGGCCCAGCCGATTGCACTTTAATATTTTGTGGCGGTTCAGTAGGTGCTGTTGTACGGAAGAATCTCATTAAATATAACAAAATAGGGAATATAAAAAAAGGGAATATGTCGAATTGACAATCGCAGATTTTGATGCAACTGTATGAGATTATAGTTCCCATAAAAATATTTGACACGTATATTTTTTAATAATGCAAAAATCAAAATTCCAATTATCCGTATTTTATATTTGGTATATAGTTTTCACATACAAATGTACAAGAAAATCGATTAAGATTTGACCAGGAAAATTAACAACAAATGCTGTTTTTTAAATGTATTATTTAAACAAATCGATTATTCTGGAATACAATCATACAGCTAGACTTCTTATAAATAATCACATAATATTGTAATTTGTACCATTTTTTTATCTCTAATAGCTTCCGAGATATTCGACAGAATACAGTTTACACCTCTAACTTTGAGGGTTGTTTTCACCCCTTTATCGTGGATAAATATTTTTATGAGAACTATAATCTCACACAGTTGCATCAAAATCGGTGATTGTCAATTCGGTATGTTCCCTTGGCAGTATTGCAAAAAGACAGAAATATATTTTCTTCACCTTCCTCTTGGGTTTTTGCCACCACGGCTTCCGTGGGTGCACTCACGTCGATCGAATTTATAGCGAATATGCGGAACGTATAAGTCACGGCGGGATGAAGTTCGCCCACCAGAGCCACTTCCTGGTCTTCGCTAGTCGTCTCGAAAGGGGACAAGCCTTCGAATATGAATAATACACTTAAAATTTTGTAGCGCTACGATACGTACGTTTGCAGGATGACAGAAACGTAGTATCAACAATATATTCGAGATAATAGAATAGCTATGCTAGAGTCAAATACAGTAATTCACAGATTTTATTTCAAATTTCAGAAAAATTTATCACAAAAGATTTATCAAAAAGTATTACAAACAAGTTATGATTTTGAAAATCTATATCATACGTGACATTTTTTAAGAAAATTGCGGTTTTTCCGGTTAGTGTGGTTGAATTTTTTCCTTGACTTGCTATACATCATTTCCTATAAACTTTTAAAATCTATGTCAAATTTGACATTTTTTAAGAAAATTTAGATGTTTCCGATAGGATATGTGATTGAATGTTTTCTTTGACTTTTCATACACCATTTTCTATAGATTTTGACACGCTGAATTCTAATCTTGCCGCAGAATTTGTCTGATCCTTTAGAATACTAAGAAAAATGTGATTTAAGTGAAAAAATCGTTTTTGGACTGATTCTGCAGCAAGATTTGAATCTAGCGTGTCAAAATCTATAAGAAATGGTGTATGAAAGTGAGGATCCTTTAACTGTATGTTTTCGATACGAAAAATATTCGAGTTACTAATGTCTTCAGGAGTAAACATTCAGGCGTTTCATGTGTATCATTTGTAGCTCATTCTAATTTATGTTAGTGTAGTAACACACTGTGTAAGTTGATACATATTGTCATACCATTTCAATTAAAGATCAAATATCAACCAGTTAAAATAAAATAAATATTTAGCTCCTGAGATGAAATAAGTCTTTATCAGGGACTTCTACCGAAACGTAAAATACCGGTATTATACCCGTATTTTCGGTTGTACCTTCGCCCTATATAACCCTATATAAGCCCTACCCTTATAGAAATCGAAAAAATACCGGTATTTATTTCGGTTTTCGGTAATTTATCGGTTTCGGTACAGCTGTGATGGCATAATACCGGTATCAAAATCATACCGGTTTAAGTCCTTGGTCTTTATTCTACACAGTGGCCGCCACAAATGGAAAAAGTCAAAGAGTATATACTAAAAAGGCAAAGCGTTAAAATATTTAATCTACAAATGTAAAATAAATCAAGTTTTGTAATACGGTTACTCCTGCAACTAGCAAAATTTGGACACGTATGAGTTTCTGAATGATCAAAGCTTGTTAGATTAAACATGGCTACGTACCGTTCTGCGTCGAGTGGATCGTATTGCCAGTGTTGGAGTTTCCCGGTGTATAGGTGACATTGTGCGTTTTTGCGAGATTCCAATCGTCCGTCAAACCATGATTCAGGGACCGATACTGAATAACGTAATTCCGTATCGGGCTGTTTCCATCAAAGGCTCTTCTCCACAGCAATCGTATCGATCGCGAGCCAATTTCTATGACTTCCAGCGAAGCCGGTGAATCTGGCCTCTCTGCATTCACAAAGTGAACGTAATGAGCCGATCAAATATTCCTTAATCAAATAGTCCTTAACGTTGATAGATTACTTTAACATACATATATTGCAATCCTTGAAAAACTGATGACTAGACTGCTGATTTTTATGCAAAATAACATTTTCTAATGTAATTTATAAAGACAGGCGCAAATACAGAAATTTATTTTTCCTCTTAAGTATCTTATTGGGTTCAGACTAAAATAGAAAACTCATTGGATCCGATGAAAGTTTTGTCTTTTATTGTGTTTCACAAAGCTCTACGGGCTACAAATGCATAAAATTCGCAGTCTAGTGATGACGGTTTTAAGCGTAGAGTCGAATGGTTCGAAAACAGTTTGCCTATTTATGGTAAAGTATCCTAATACGAGACTCCAGCCTATCTCCGTTAAGGAGGAACCTTGAACGTCGCAAAGAATTTAAAGAAATGCATTACAATGAAACGCGTAAAAAGTGATAGTTCAACTGATGAGTGTGAAGAAGACATTGTTCTGAACGATGAAAGTGATGACGAAGAAAATTATGATGCAAAATGCTTGTTTTGCACAGGACTTTATTCTTCAGATATACATGGTGAACAATGCGTTCAGTGTATCAAATGTTACCGGTGGGCACATGAAGACTACGGTGCAGACGCAATTAATTAGGTATAGCCAATGTGTGAAAAAAGATGGAAAAAATAAGTTTTGACAAGATGAAACCTGGGTCTCATATTAAGCGACCAGTTTTTGAATTTATGTTTCTGCATACTTTTCATTTTTATTTTATTATGATGGAACTCTATCTGTTTCGTTATAATTTTTAATAAGTTGTAAGAGTGTACACATCTTACATTTACACCGTTATCGTATTTCGATAAAAGTATTTTAATCGAGAATTATGTGTGCTTAAAAAAATGGAATTGACTGATTTTTTAACAGAAAAGGCATCTCTGCTAGAACGTTTTTACGTTTTCACTGAATGTGTTTGTGTATTGATCGTTCCGTATGGACCGGAAAGTCGGTTTTACTCACTGATCTTCTCACTCATCTGAATCTTGTACCTTTTAGGCACTGCAAGTTTTCTAATTTTAAGCAGTAAAACTATTTAGAGAGTTTTTCAAAATCATTTACAGCCAATGATATAGAGAGACATAATTCGATTGAAATCATTATATGAATCAGAAATAAATTTTGTAAAACGTTATTTAAGGTTCTGATACAGATCACTTTTTGATAAAGAAAGCACTTACTTTCGAATTCTAATATGTACTTCTAAAAACGTGAGGTTTTTCATAATATTAGGTTGGCCTAAAAGTAATATTGGACTTCTGTAGTAGACGACACGTTTGTTTCTAACTAATGAAATCTCGTATACATATACACACATATTCTGAATGTTGACTCTTGAAAGCGTTATTAAAAAACATTATTACTATTCCGTTAAATATCATTGAATTGAGCTTGTTTTGAAAATGACTGACGAGAAACTGTAAACGAAAGAAGAAATGCTCTTTACATAAAATATTTTTGAGCATAGAAAATTTTTATGGAAGATGTAAATAAGATGTTCTTGTTTGTGGAATGGAAAAAACGCAGCACAAACGATAAAGATTTCTAACGTGGTGTATACGAACAGAAATAAAAAAGCATCATTGTTCGTTAGTATACCTTCTGATCACTCATTTTCAAAACAAGCTCGATGCAAGAAAATGTAACCTAATCGTAATGATTTTTTTTAAAATAACACATTCATGTGTCAGTTGTCAGAATATGTATATGGTTTGTTAGGTAGGGGCAATACTTTGTATTGAAATAAAGAGCATTCCGACATTACTCTTCGGCCAACCCAATAATAACATGAACAAAGTATTTCCGTAGGAAACAAAAATAATCTTATTTTCCTGTGGCAATGTGTTTTCGATAAGTTTTTCTTCTGTTTATAACTCGATGAAGAATATACCTTGAACCGCCAGATAAATGAGATGTTCACTCCTCCCATAAGCGTTGTCAGCTGTACACCGATAAAGCCCAGAATCCTGACGATCACTGCTCCCTATAGATAATTGAGATCTAAGGCCACTGTCTGTTTTTATTTGACTTATGCTCAATCGATGACTGTTCGTGTCTATACGATCGCTGTTGTGTATCCATTGCACTTTTATAGGGTTGTCGCCAATCACAGTGCAATCCAAGGTCACAGACTCGCCCCGTCGGATGGTTACATTTTTGCTTTGGAACTCGAATCTGGCCGGTTCTGAAAAGAACAAAAATGTAAAAAGTTACAAACATCTACGAAATTAATTGTGAATTTCTTGAGCTCTTGATGGTTTTTACGCGAGCTTTAAACTTACTTTAGAAGACAGTGATATCTGCAGATACTTCAAAGTTATTAATAAGGTGTAGCCAATTAGAAACGAGGCAAGTGGAGAATTTGAGTAAATACGACGAGGCTAAAGTCCTTCAGAACTAGTAAACGAGTACCAAATCTCGAAACTTTCCATTCGAGATTTACTAACTTTTCTATTTGAAGAGTTAAATTCACTGATTGATACAATATTGCAGATAACGAGTAAAATATCGTCGGCTCTTACAAATATTATTCGTGGCCCAGTAAAATTTACTAACGCGTAGATATAGATATCAACAATCTTGAATCAATGAATCTAACCGCATCAACCAAAGATATCCAGGAAGTTATACTTTCAAGGACGACCAAAAATATATTCAGGTGTGCGTGAAAATTATTAACAAACTTTATTACTTGTTGCTTACAACATCCTACTTATCGCAACAGCAAAATCTCAAATTTAAATAATTTTTTACTATAAAATATAGTATATTTTTGACTATACGAACATTTTGGAGCATTTTTGCTGAACTGTTTCAATAGGATTATGTTTAAAAAATATCTTTATTACAAAAATGGGGAAAAACAATTTCAGAATGCTTATACTTCCACATATTATGTTTCCAGACGATCACGTTTACATGCTGGGCAAAGTTCAGTTCTGTGGCTGTGTAAGTTTCAAGGCACAAAAAGAACTGTTTTCGTTAACAAGAATATTGGAATTGATTAGATAACTGAAGTATATCATTAATTAGATACTCCCAGTAAATGTTCATGCATTCATAGAATTTTGAAACTTACTTCTCCCAATGTGACGTAAAGTTGTCACCGATCAACACATTTTTATATCTACTATCAAGATTTATTGAAATACTTCCCATTTGTTACACGTTGCTCGTATGACGTTGTAACCATGATATGTCTTCCTATATAAGGTGTAACAAAAATGTTAAAGAACTCGGAAATGGGAGACTCTTGAGGTGATTTGAAACAAGTTTTTCCTTAGCAAAAATTTTATCCGAGGCTTTGTTAACGAGATATTAACGAAAAATCCCGACCAATCAGAGTCCGGCAGCCAGCAAACACGCGCTCTGAACTCACTGCGCATGTCTGTCGGCCGCCGGACTCTGATTGGTAGGGTTTTTTCGTTAATATCTCGTTAACAAAGCCTCGGATAAAATTTTTGCTAAGGAAAAACTTGTTTCAAATCACCTCACGAGTCTCCTATTTCCGGGTCCCCCAAAATTTTTGTTACACCTTGTATATGCTTGGCCATTAGTTCAGTTCATTACGCACAGATTTTGGCACTTTATTCATGAGACATTACGAATGGCGATATTAGGCAATCTATTCCATTTGCATAAACATACGTAGTCTAGTAATTAGTTAACCCTCATTCGTCCCATGTGTCAATTTGACACAGTTTTCTCCCAAGAAATGACGTTATTCTGTCATGTGTAGGTAAATTTAATTGAAGCTTCGTGATTTTTATTTTTAAAGACTTTGCAAATTTAACTATTTATCACTTCCTTGTATTAACTTTTACCACTGGGTCAGTTTTATAGCGAGGGACAAATTCAGTTGGGAAAATGAGGGACGGATGAGGGTTAACATCGAATCCCTTTATATCACTGATACAATACTCAGATAGCACATGACGCCTAGAAGACGCCCATTTTACGGCTATTTTAGGTCTAAGGCGCCTTTAAGCCATCTTCAAGGCGTCATTAGGCGTCATTTGCTATCTGGGTATCAGTGTTCCCGGCACGTACCATGAACGGACACGTAGATCACCTTGCTGAGGCCGGATCCAATCCCATTATTGGCACGACAGAGGTAGTGACGCTCGTCCTGGGGTCCGGCGGAGGCAGTCCACAGTGATCCGTTCGGTAATATGGTTAGCGTACCGTCAGAACCGTCGGGCAGGGGTTTATAGTCATTGGAAGTTCGGCCCCTGGCACGTAGCCACGTGACCCGTGGCGGTGGAAAACCTTTCGCTTCGCAATAAACGATCAACGGGTTCCCAAGAAGGGTGGACACGTCTTGGGGCTCGAAGATCCATTGCGGCGGCACTTTGACTAGAAGCTCAGCCGTGTGGTTCACCCTGGCGGCGCTGTTGGTTGCTACGCAAGTATACTTGCCGCTGTGACGCGAGGACAGTTCCTTAAACACTAGCACGCTGAAGAATTCTGCCGCCCTCTCTTCGATCTGAAAGAGAAATTTAGTTGAACCTTTGTTTCTGCCCCTTTCAGAGTTATATTTTTCATTTTAAAGGGTGTCCCATGATTGGTGGCATAATAGGATAGAGTAGTACGAAATACGACGAGAATATACGAAGGATGAAAAACCGGGTCCAGTCGGTTATACTGTGGACTCTAACTATATTGCCGTGGTCGAGGTTGTGGGGGAGTAAAATGGCAATGAGTTTAGAGCCTCCTCCATTCTATCGCCATAGCCTCGACCTCGGCGGCTGCGCAAAAGCTGGAATTCTGAAACTGAAAATATATATGAAGGGGTAGTGCCTCGCGTGGCAATATGTTCAGTGGCAATGTAGTGAGAGTCCACTGTACTTCCTTGCGTGCTAGAGGAAGTTTAGTTTTTCTGTGAGTATATATACTGCTTTTGAACTTCTGACCCAACGTGTTCTGACAGTATGACACATGTAATTGACGTGAGATGTTGCTTCTTTACAATACGGTCCAATCGTGGCATAACTTGAAGCATGGTCCAGCGTAGAAATTCTCTGTCATTCGGTTTTCTAGGGGCCAAATATGTATCTTCCGTCGAAATTTATAGGCAATTGAAATAAATTTATGGTCCCATCAGATTCTCATCCGTCTGGGCCACTGAAGAAACATTTTGGAGAAAGGTTTTCGGATGATACAACCGTACGGTATGCTGTCCGAGAATGTTATGAACGTCAAGAGCCCGATTTTTATGAAGAGGGAACCTACAAGCTCGTACCACGATAGAACAGGTGCATAAATGCAAAAGGAGTCATTAGTGTAAAGTTCATGAATGATAGCTTAATTTATGAGTAAGTTATATGTAGAAACCTTATCAGCACAGGGAACTTTAGTGTCTGATCAACCCTCTTGGAAGAAAATTTTATCGTGGCTAGCTTCGTTTTCGAGATGTTTTGTGCATGTTTCTAAAACAAATCTTCAGTGTGGACGTATTTCGTCAAAATTGAAGTTCGATTATCTCGAAAACGAAACGATTTACGATCAATTCTGTAGTATGTTTTGGTCTCATTTTTTCATGTAGAATCAGTACCTTTTTGCCTGTGCTCTAAGTTATTGGACATACTATACAGGGTGTTCCAAAAAGATGGGACAATCCGCAATATGGATATTCCTCATGCAAATGCAAATCGAAAAGTCTTTTATCGTTTTGTCATCTAAAGCTTCGTTTCCGACACATTAGTAGTTAAATGAACACATATTTACGCGCAAACACAGTCAAAAAGCGCATGGTCCAAGTCACTGGCCTCTGCTGGTCGTTAACTGCTAAGTCGAGTTTGTGTAACTGCTAATATCTCGGAAATGGAGCTTCAGATTACAAAACGGTGAAGGACTTTTCGATTTGTATTTGCATGAGGAATATCCATGTTACTGATTATCCTACCTTTTTGGGACACCCTGTATATTGACTTGAATCTTCTCAGTGTAGGTAACCGTCTAATAAATTATTGGATCATCCCACAACGAACGTTGTTTCCGTTTTATTGCAAGTAAACACAGAAATTAAGTTTTCCAAGAAGAGATGCGATATTTTTTTGCAGGAGAATATTATAGAAGCAATGTAGTTTAATTTTGTCAGTGTACAAAACGCATAGCTGATTAGTAAGGGAAGAAAAAGAACGTACACGTAGAGAGGAGGGCAACTTTTCGCCATCTTTGAGCCAAGAGAAACCGATGGGAAGATCACCGGAAGTGACGCTGCAGGTGACCTGAGCACGACTGCCTTCCTGGAGGTTCAGAGGAAAATTGAAGGGACTCATAATTGGGGGACCTGGAACAGATGAATTTTTATCTGATTAATAATGAATTTTATTTGTTTTTCTTACTTATAGTTTCGTATTTATTTAGAATAATCGTGGAATAAGATGTAACACGAATGTCCGAAACAAGTTCAATATTTTTTTAGAGAAAAGAAAAAGACCTTCAAAACTATTATAGTAATCATAAAAAGCGTGGAACTTATTTCCGGTTAGAGTTCACCGTTTTCTATCCACGTATTCTTTCGCCAGCTTTTTCCCCACACGCCTTGACAAATGAGAGAAACTTAAAGAGTAGCGCCCCGCGAATACACCCGAGTGTGCAATTTACTTCATGACTTCTTCACGGCGGTAAGCTAGTTGACCATGAACAAAGAAAAACAACTTCCTCTCTTATTAACACGAGTCTCTATATTTACAGGGTGTTCCAGCTAAGATGCTCACCTCGAATAATGGCGTAACGGTACACTTTATGAAAATTTTGAGGCCAGGAACTTAAATGGCATTAAATGACACATTTTATGGGTTACGTGCTTTTTTTGTGGGTGGAAGCATTTCAAAGATTTCAAGGATATCTTGGCTTCTTTTTAACGGAATGACCTATTTTCTTGTACCATAGTTCGATAGAGTATCAAATTCTGAGTAAAAATATGTTGACCTTCATACGTCCTAAATCTAATAGTTACCGAAGTATTTACAAACTAATCACTGTATTGAAATTGAGGGGCATCAGTTCGAGCTCTCATAGCTTTCAGATACAAAGTACGTATTAAAAATTATTTCCGAAATTTAATACTTGTTTCGAACCAAATCCAAAATAATGTTCCCTTAACATATTATCTGCCTGTTCTCAACCGTTCCACGGCATTTTCTTCAAGATTCAGGAAGATATATTGTATATGAACTGAAATTACTCATTGGTGCACCTCGCAAATTTGCATAAACGTCCATTCATAAATACTGGTAAACTGGTTTTCTAGTAAACACCAGAACGTTCCAGGATTTTTATAATGTGATACTCACTGCTGACTGTGAGTCTGATATCTCTGCTGGCCGTTTCACCTGATCTTGCCCGCACCATGCAAGTGTAAGTGCCAGCGTCGTTTGGGTCCACGTTGGCAATGGTAAGACGGCCCTCCTTGTCGACACGGTGCTGTATGTCGAGAAGCAGTTTAACACCGCCGCGGGACCACTCGACGGATGTGATGGGGTAACCCGAGTAAGGACAGGTTATGGTGGTATCGACACCGGCTATAGCTCGGACTGGTCCTATAGATCGGATATACGGCGGACCTGAAATGATTAATCGACAAGGAGTGTTTTCTAATAGGCTTCGTCCATGTTGAATGATCGGCATCTGAATTCGACGTTCTCCGCTCAAAACATTGGGTGAATACGTAGAAAAGCTACCTACCCTCCGATTTGAATGATTTTTGGATATATTGTAAAATTCGACATTTTGAACAACTTTTTACCATACATATAACGCGGGGAGTTGTTTAGTTTGCGAAATATTCGCGACAAACTATCAGTATTAGCGCATTAAATTAGCTTCGTTTAGCTTAACCTTCCGTTTATTTGACTGATACAGAGTAACGATTCATTCTTATTTAGCAGAGGTATTAACGTGAACGGACGTTTAGTTTCATAGAATTGCAAATCGATTAGTATAATGCTTCAGAGTTGATTAGACACAGTTCAGGAAAAAAATAACTGTCCTAACCAAACTATAAAACTCCATAATGTATAATACCTTAGAATAAACCAAATCAAGAATGCCGAATAGAACGTCAGTATTTTCTTTTATAATAAACAAATAAGTATTTTTCCATTATTATTAAAATTACCATAAATATTCAATCTGGCTTTGTGTTCAACCGTAGCCAAGTTGTTGAACGCGACGCAGGCGTAGAGGCCGCCGTCTTCAGCCGCGGCTGATGATATGTTCAAATGACTCATCACATCCCCGGACTGATCGACGTACTGTCCTATCGCGTACCTGGGTGGACATTGTTTGTGGTTAAGAAGTGGAATATTGATCGATCTGATCCCGATTCGCACCTGTGCCCAGCAGCGATTTCGCTCAGAGGTTCTCCGTCTAGGAGCCATGTGAATGATGGGGGTGGAGATCCTGTTGCAGAGCATCGCAAAGACACTGGAGGTCCTGGTCGTAGGGCCTGTTCGATGAACGTGTATTGCAGTTCTGGCACAGTATCTGGGATAATTGAATAAAGATTAATAGGAATTTTATAAGTCAGTATTTCAGAGCATGATTGCTCTGTTTTTTATAATATGGATGTTCAGGACTCTATGTATTCGGTAGACACAGGAATCGGTACTTAAGGTACTCAGCGCTCAAGGTATTCGGTACTCGATACTCAAGGGTCTCGGTACTCGGTACTCAAGATATTCGGTACGCAAAGTACCCAAGGTACTCAAGGGATTCAAAGTACTCTGCACTCAAATTATTTGGCACTCAAGGTACTCAAAGTACTTTGCACTCAAAGTTTTCGGTACTCAAGGTACTCAACGTACTCGATACTCAATGTACTCGATTCTCTGACGGTACAACCCGAAAGAATATAATTCTGCATGTGAAAATAAGTCGAAAATACAAAATAAAATTTTCTCGTATAATGCTTCATTTTCAAGATAATCAATTTTTGAAATCCATGGAACGCTTATGTACAATTCGTGTTGACAACAAGTAGAAACAGAATATAATAACAGACGTGTTAACCAAGTTCTATTCAATTACACGCGGATCTATCAGATTTTCAAATTTGTTTGTCTAGAAAACGAAGCATCGTACGAAAAAATTATATTCTACATTTTCGGTATATTTTTGCATGCAAAATCACATTCTTTTAGGGTTGTATTATCAGTTCGGGAACTCCCTACATATAAGCTACAATTTTAACATTAAATATTTCGTAAACTAATGGTCATATGGGGCTAAAACAAATATCATTGGCTTCAGATTTCCAAGCTCTATCATTCTGCTAAACCTCTTAAAAAGTCAGCGTTACACCTAGAGACCTCTCCTTGTAAGACACTAATTTACACCCTCTTAGTATCGTCTAGTAGCGCCAACAGTTCCTAATTTTGATAGGTACTTATACTCTGGGCCTGTTTTCATATAGAGTAATATCTATGCATATTTTAATAGTTTCATGTAATTACTATATTCCTGAACGTAACAACGGTATAATCCGTGGAAATACCTCCAAGTTTCAATTCGGCTGTGGCTTGAGCGTTCTCCTTGTCGCTTCTGACTAGACACTGATACATCCCCTTGTCCTTTCGACCGATCGAGCCTATCACGAGTACCAGAGGAGCCAGCAATCTGATCCTTGTGTCCTGAGCGGTCAATACTGGCACACCATCGTGCAACCACTCGACGCTCTCGACCGGATAACCCTCCACCGTGCAATTCATAGTGGCGGACTCTCCGGAATTGATGGTCTGTAAATAACCGGGAAACGGTTAACGATTCGTGCTCGAAAGTTAATGCCCGTGTCACGAATTACGCAGCCCTGTCCTCCCTTCCGCCGCCACTGTCAGTTCCGTCTGTTGCCCTTCAACGAATATCACGATGCGCTATTGTTTTCGTGCTAGATAAATATATTTATCAATGTCTACGTAATAAATACGATTATTTAACACAAGATATTTAACTCTATACGGTAATGTTGCGATGAGTGCGACATACTCGAGTCTACTTCGGAGCATTCGTGGCAACACGGAGAGGTTTTCAGCCCCTCATAAATTTGTTTTTTGTCCGAAGCCGAGCCTCTGCTTAGCTTTTGTTTACTCTGTTTTGATTGGTCCCACAGGGGGACTTCCCCAGTGGTGGGAATAACGCCGTTGCTCGTGTCGCATACATCGAGGGATCATTGTAGTTGGGAAATGTTGTGAAGTTGAAATGGAAAAGTTCTAACATTTTGACAATTATTACAGGCTATCTATGATCCCGAGACAGAGTCGGCACAATAGAAACTTGGACTTGCGTAATGAAATTCTCGTCCTAGATTTCATAAATTATCGAAACTGGGATTTCAGATCTTGGCAATGAAACTGATTAGGCTCCACGGGCGAATTTTCGGCCAGGCCTGATCTAGACTATATGTATTTATCAATTTTCTGTTACGTTATCATTCGTTTTACAATTTGATGGCTATGGAGAGTATTTGTGGAATAATATAAGCTTCAATTTCATAAGGATAAAAGTGTTTGATTGTCACTGGACAGATTCGTACCTGAACACGGGGCTGTATCCGTGCATTAAGTTTTGACGTGACCGACAGGTGTGTTTCCGCCCGTTGCTCGCCCACCTGGTTGCTGGCCCGGCAAATATATCTGCCTGCGTCCTGCGCATCCACGCGACGAATTTGCATCAAATCGCCCCAGAGTTGAATCCGTTGGCTAAATGATTCCACGGGTATCGAGTGTCCTGTAACAGTAACCATAAACGTTATGCAGGATGCTAACAATCCTAACGACTGTTGCTTCCAGTTAGGAGGATAGTAACCAAATGGTCCTGACAATGTTGTTGTTAAATAGACGAAACGGAACGTCGCGTGTACAGGATGAATCACATAATTGGTCATCCATATTATCTCCATGTAAGGTGACTAATCAAAATAACTCCAGAATCTTATGTGAAATATGTTCAAACTGATCTGGAAGGTTTATAAAATGTTGTTCGTTTTAAGGTAACAAAATCTGGAACAATTTATGAATAATAAAAATATTTGTGCCACAGCCTAAGCGATGGATCACCCAAAAAGGATATCACAAAGCAGTTTCATATGTCTTTGGTCGAGTGAAAATTGTAACAGAAGTGTCACGTGTTAATTCCTCAATATCTTTTTCATACATTCTTGATAATGGTAGTTAAATTATAACCCTAGCTCTCTGCTGTTTAGAGGACAATGTCCGAACGATGTCGATATTACGCGAACACGTTAGGCTACGCAATCTACAGTGTGCTCCGGATTATACAGTAAACAATCCCCTAATTAAACCAACCGTTAACATCGCGATACCAGGTAAATTGCGGGGGCGGGTTTCCTTGCGCAGAGCAGGTCAGGTGAACGTCCGAGCCGCTTTCGGCAGAAATGGCGATCTGGGACCTCTGCATCAGTCTCGGCGGCATATGTCTACTTGGTTCTGAAAATTGAAACACAAGTGTTAAATTCTAATGGAGTTTATTTCATACGAATTGACCTTTGACTCTAAAGAAAAGTATTACAGATAATAATCAATTGTCAGTAATCTGAAAAGATTGGTGTTCATGTATGCAATAAGATTCAAATATTTCTGACCTAAATCTGATTTACCTGCAATTAGATTGTTGCACACAAATTGGGTGATTTAGTGATAGCTATACAGGGTGACTCACCGAACGTTTTCACCTTAAATATCTTTGTTGTTTTTAAAGATACGTAAAATGTCTTCAGGACAAAGTTGAATGGTTCAATGGGGCTCGCACGATGCCAACAAATTTTTGTTTTTACGTCATTTTTTTTAGAGGTATCAAGGTCACCTTCATTTTTCTAAATGGAACCACTCTTTTTCCGTGACCTTGAATGACGTTGAATAATTATAGTCACTGAATTCCTAATGAAAGGGACTATCATTGTAAGTGTTTAAAAAAGGGTGATTCCATTTTAAAAAACGAAGGTGACCTTGATATCTCTAAAAAAAAAAATGACGTAAAAACAAAAATTTGTTGGCATCGTGTGAGTACCCAGCCACAAAGAAGGCAGCTGTAAGTAAGTGTTGTCGAAGAGTAATCTCCAAATGTAGTACAGTAATTATGTAATAAATAAACACGAATGTTACACCTGTATTTCAATGAAAAATGTGTATACAATTTATATAATATTACTTTGTCGAATAAAATGCATGCAATGTTCAATATAATATCAACTGTTGGTACAAACGATGATTTCGTGTGCAACAATTTAATAGAAGTGAATTCTTTATTGTACAGTGAGTTGCACTTTCGTTGCTTAAAAAGTTATTCTGTGCACATTATGATTTCACTGAAACGTAAGAACAGTTTTTTTTTTAAATCATACAAAACCAGAAGTGAAACGTAAGAAAAGTTCTTTTTTTTTCTTCAGTATTAGCCGAAGATTAAGCCGGAAACTTTTGGCTTTTACTTAGAAGTTTACTGTGAAGAATCGACACGAATGACATGCCTGTTACTGTCAACGTAGCAGGTTCGCTTTTTCTTCTTTCACCGGTCAACGCGTGAAGAGTCAAGCACGAGTACGTCGCCTTGCCGTCCTCCTGTCTGGCGGCTCTGATGTGGAGGTCGCCTTGGGATGTGACCACGAACCTCCCACCTGCAATTGGATCAAAGTCACTTGTATAAAACAGGGACCTAAACCGGTATAATTTTGATACCGGTATTATGCCATCAAAGCTACACCGAAACCGATATATCACCGAAAACCGAAATAAATACCGGTATTTTTTCGGCTTTTATAAGGATAGAACTTACATTGGGTTATATAGGGCGAAGATTCAACCGAAAATACCGGTATACTACTGATATTTACATTAATATTATTATTATTATTATATATATTATAATATATTAAAATAAGAAACATTTTCGATATCATTAACGGTTTCGAAGACATTCACGGGACTTGATTTATATAGCTCACCCTATATATCAAAAGTACACACGATATGGGGCAAAATAATACAGTTTGACGTCAGAACCCGTTCCCTCGGTGTATAAGTGGATCAGGTACGTCCCTTTAAACATATCTGGGCGCTGATCGAAAAGAGGCTTTGCTTCGCTGCGCCGGCGAAGCCGTTTCAATCGAAAACAAGACCAGTATACCCCGGATTGCCCAGGGCCTGGGAAAATACTACGGTCGTTTCACAGCGAGGCCGCGATACCCCAATAATTTCGCTTCCATGTTCGAATCCGCGGCAACGAAAGGTTATGCAAAATCCCCGGCGTCTGTCGATGAAATCCCATCGAATCACCGACGGACGTACCGTCAGGTGTGAAATTTTCAATTTAGTCCAGCCAACGGCTGGACCTCGGACCCGTCGACTGGCTAGACAAGTCAGACCATCCGATGGAGATTCTTTCGCATCGCGGAACGAATCTCGGGACCGTAGAACGAATTATGAGACTGATCTATATGTGAGATTTTTCCGGCGAACATAGTTGTGTTGGTCAGTTGGATTGGTTATACTAGAAATTTTTCCAGAAAACAATTTTTAACTACCACCTTTGCTGTATATGTTAGGTTACATACTCACGAAATGTTTATGAATGCACTTGCAGCTGAATTTTGATTTTAAAATATTTAAACATCCAAATTTATCTATAGTATTGTGATAAAAACTAACTGCCCTAAACCACAAGTTTCCATACTGTTCCAAACCATAGTACAGTAATGTCTTGATGAGTGCGACATACTTGGGTCCACTTCGAAGCATCCATGGCAAGACGGAAAAGTTTTCAGACTGTCATAAATTTATTTTTTGTCCCAAGCCCAGCCTCTGCTTAGCTTCTGTTTACTCCGTTTTGATTGGTTCCACATAGGGACGCACCAGCGATGGGAATAACGCTGTTGCTCCTGTCGCATTCATCGAGGAATCACGGTAGTACATTTACCATGTTTAACGATATTTACTAAATTTTGTGTTTATAGCTTCGAATTCCTTTTATTCCAACTTTTTAGCTATCTATTCATCTTGAAAATGTTAAGAAAATCATATCCAACTGTATTACTGCCATGATCCTACAATAGTAGGACGCCACACAAGTATTACACGAACCTTATCTTTATAAAATATATACTTAGTTTTGACTCTCACTGTACGCAGGGGAAGGGGAACCATCAGAAGAAGAAATGACGGAGCACGTAGCCAACAATATCTGAATTGCTGTCACCTGCAATACGTTAAGTACACGTCTGTCTCTTCAAACGGCAACAAGAAGCACGATCTGTCGAAAGAAAGGGTGGAAATGGCTCACGTTCTTCGACAGAGCCGTCGTTTGCTCGAATGCTTTCATTACGGAAGGTGCTTTATGCGTTTCAGTCAGGGTCGCGTCCGATGTCGGTGAACTTCGCGCCCTCCATATGTCCTGGCAGGAAGAGGAAAAGGGTGGTGCGGGGATTTATCGATCCATCGTCAAGTTTTTCTTCTTCGCCGGCTCGTACGTGCCAAACGACACTCGCCGGCTTTGTTGTCCTTCTTGCTGTCTGTCTATTTCGCGGAAGACACATTTTCATTATCTCGACTCTGACTTCTGTCGCGTCACGTCATTGTCTGCTAGACGAGCGAAACACACGATCCATTCGACATTTTCGTAATCGAAAATTGTTCCTCGGAGGAACTATGATAGGGAAGGGAATCATATCGAGTTATATGTGACCAGATTTTAGAACTATACTAATGTCTTGATGAGTGCGACGTACTTGGGTCCCCCCTGGAACCAATCAAAACAGAGTAAACAGAAACTACGCAGAGGCTCGGCTTCGGGGAAAAACAAATTTATGTGGAGCTGAAAAATTTTCCGCCTTGCCATCAATGCTCCGAAGTGGAACCGAGTATGTTGCACTCATCGAGACATTACGGTATCTCGTTAACTATTAGTTTTGGGACGTATGAAGGTTAACATATTTTTATTCAGAATTTGATACTCTATCGATCTACGGTCGAAAAAATAGGTCATTCCGTTAAAAAAAATCTGGGTGACCTTGAAATCTCGGAAATGCCTCCACCCACAAAAAAAGCACGTCCCTTATAAGATGTGCCCCTTGATGCCATTTAAGTTCCACGCCTCAAAATTTTCATAAAGTGTACCGTTAAGTCATTACTCGAAGTGATCAAGTTATCTGAGACACCTTGTATACCTCAATATACATATTTACAGAACGTATACAATGCCCACCGATGAAGATCAGAACACCCGTTCTGACTACAAAAAATTTAACATTTCATGGATACTATATATTTTGCATCACTTTTACCATTTACCATAAACAATGCCAGGAACAAAATATATTTAATATCACCGATGATTTTGTACGAACTTACCGGGTATGATTCGCATTTAACCCCTTCGCATCGGAGGACGAGATATCTCGCCACGTGATTTCGTTTGTGATATGCTTTGGACGAGATATCTTGCAACGCAATGTCTTTCATGCGATGCTATGTACGAAATATCTCGCGACACAAAGTCGTTCTTTTATTACAACGCGAGATATCTCGTCCAACGATTTGTATCAAAATAAATTCGTAGGTCACTGTGAATGTGAATGTAGAAAAGGTTAGGATTGTCAAATGAAGAAAATCTTTTGTTTCTAGAAACTAATGATTTTATTTTTCCATAATGCGATTCTTATTAAATCATCGCAACATGATGACTACACTTACGGAATGCTCCATGAAAACTGTTGTAATGAATTCAATGTAGAAGCGGAATACCATCGTCTAAAAGCAACCGATGAGTGACATTCAGTTGTAAACGTTGAAAAATGGGAACGTGAGCGCGACATATCTCGTCCAAAGCAGCACGCGAACGATTTTGTGTCGCGAGATATTTCGTACATAGCATCGCATGAAAGACATTGCGTTGCAAGATATCTCGTCCAAAGTATATCATGAACGATATCACATGGCGAGATATCTCGTCCTCCGATGCGAAGGGGTTAAGATGTGTCCCAATGCTTATGTCTGCATACAGTGATTCATAAAATTGTTCATTTATACCTACAAAAATGATTGCTAAATTCATCACATCTTTCTTTCCTTAAATATTGCCCCTTTTGCTTACATATATTGTTTGATTGTAACATAGAGCAACACGTTCGCATACGTAGAACAAGAAAATACAATTTTTTGATGCGAACAAACGTGTGAGTCACTAGTGGTTCATCGTACATACGATACACTCTCAAAAACTTTAAAAGGAAGATTTTTCGACCATTTTCCAGGTCGTTTTCCATGCGTGTTTCCCAGTTTTGTCTGCCATGGAGGCCGCGGTTTTCGTTATTACTTCGATTTCCAGACGCGTTTCATTGTGCTCACGAGATTCCCGCTTCGCAATCGACGTTTATTGATCGACAAGGACCGCAGATACGCTCAAGAGGCCTCCGATACACGAATCCCCCGTCGAAGTTATGTGAAACGACTAGAAACGCGGGCACGAACGTAATTTCCGATAGGGACAGAAATCACGTTATTTCGGTTCACCTTGAATTTTTCATGATAGATCAATGGGAACCGATTTCTTCCATTGCCGACGTGACAAGCAATTAAAAAACATTGGGAACAGTTGCGAAGTTGCCACGATGCGATCTCGAATTAGTGCCATGAAGAATAAATATTTCTGTTAACTATTTAGAATTTCATTTCGGTGCTCGTTTCGTCGTCGAATGAACTTTCGACTTAGTTGTTTTCACTTTAACCGTCAGAGTTTGTTGGAATTCTACCGGGTGTAACAAAAATGTTGGAGAACCCGGAAATGGGAGACTCGTGTGGTGATTTGAAACAAGTTTTTCCTTAGCAAAAATTGTATCCGAGGCTTTGTTAACGAGATATTAACGAAAAACCCCGACCAATCAGAGTCCGGCGACCGACAGACACGCGCAGTGAGTTCAGAGCGCGTGTCTGCCGGCAGAGCTCTGATTGGTCGGGGTTTTTTGTTAATATCTCGTTAACAAAGCCTCGGACAACATTTTTGCTAAGGAAAAACTTGTTTCAAATCACCTCACGAGTCTCCCATTTCCGGGTACTCCAATATTTTCGTTACATTTCATAAAGCAACCGTAATTTTCGAATATATCGATAATTGCAATAGCGCGTGTTATAATCTCTTGTGACCATGATCTCCGCAATAAATTAATTTTTCAGACTCACGGCTATTTTAATGCTGTTTCTTCTGCAGTAACGTTGAATGACCTTGAATAATTATAGTCACTGAATTCCTAATGAAAAGGACTATCACCGTAGGTGTTTAAAAAAGGGTGATTCCATTTAAAAAAATGAAGGTGACCTTGATATCTCTAAAAAAATGACGTAAAAACAAAAATTTGTTGGCATCGTGCGAGCCCGATTTAACCATCCAATTTCGTCCTTAAAACATTTGACCTGTCTTTAAAAACAACACAGATATTTGAGGTGCAAACGTTAGGTGACTTACCCCGTATATTGCTAAAGACTACAATCTATTAAAAAATTTTTTTCAATTTTTATTAAAAATTGCCACATGACTAATATATAGATTTTAAGATCTTAATTCACCATTCTGAGAAGTGTATTTTACAACCTAACTATAATTATTGTAACTATTATTTTAATATCA